TTCCAGAAAACAAAAACGGGGCATCTTTCGAAGGGTTTACCACGAAGCCGCAACGCTCGCGAAAAATTTTGTTTTTCGTTTCATTTTGGGCAAAAAAAGAGGAAAGAATCAAAAAAATTTGATTTTTACTGATAAAAAAAAAAGAAAATCAGAAGTTGTCGAGAAGAAGAAGTTCTCCCACTACGTGAGGACCAAAATAAATTTGACGTCTTCTGGTGCTTGTTTCTCCAGTTCAACAAAAATTCATTTCTTGTTTACACACGGGCCTTTCTTTTTAAAAAAAACATGTCTTCCCCCGTTCGTGGAAACCCTCAAAAGCCCTCGCAGGTCAAAAAAATGGGCTTTTTCAAATTGAGAAAAAACGGAGAAAGGGACAAAACCCAAAAAGAAGTAAACAACAAGGTTGGGTTTTACAGCTTTTTTGACGAACCTTCTTCCCCCCCTCTCTTTGGCCCAAGGGGACGGGTTTCGCCTTTTGTAAAAAAAAGGACTCAATTTCCTCTGAAATGGGTGTTTGTTATTGTTGTGTTTACAGAAAAACCAAAAAGGTGTCTTTTTGCCACTTTAGAAAAAAAAACTTGTTTTGAAAGACCAACAAGTTTTCCTGGTTGTTCGCAGTGTTTTGGTTTTTTTTGGGCTTGGTGGGAGGGGCTTATGTTTTCCCCACATGTTTGGGGCCCAGTTGGCATTGCTGTTCAAGGCGGGGGTCAAAAACTTCATAGCTTTTTGAAAAAATTCAACCTTTCGCCACTGGGGGTGTTTTTTTTAAAATTTACAATGTATTTTTCACTTTTTTTATTGGTTCTTTTTTCATTTTTAACTCATTTATTAAGGGGAAAAAAGAACCAGTCAGGGGGCATTTACTTTGAAAAATTGTTATTTAAAATCAAAAAAAAAAAACATTTAAAATCTCTGGCTTGTTTTTTTTTGATTTGTGGCGAAAAAAATTTACGGTCTTCTCTTTTTTAAATTTTAAATTTGTTTTACCTTTTTTTTGCAATCATTGTTTTTTTGCAATGAAAAAAAGGGAAAACTCTTCAGGGTAAAATTCCAAAAAAGGGTTTAACAAGTTATAGGCGCTCTCTCTCTTTAATCTTTTTCAGCCACTGAATGTCAAAAACTCTATTTCAATATAAAAAAAAAAACCCTAATAATTTTGGTAAAGTTGTTAATTTAGTAAAAGTTGGTCTTTTCATTGGATTGGGGTTAGGTTTTGTTGGCCCACCGGAAGAGGGCATTTTTTTTTTGAAATTGCCTTTTGTTTTTTCAAAAAAAAAAACATTTGTCACAAAATTTCTCCTTTCAGCCCATATATCACTTGGGCCCCTTTGATTCTTTTAAAAAAAAAAAAAATATAATTCAAAGAGGCTTGGTTATAAATTTTAAAAAAAAAAAAAAGAAAAAAACAAATTTATTGTTAAAAAAAAAAAAAACTGGCAATTAGTTGAACAGGTTAAAGCTTTTATCAAAACAAAAAACCTAAGACCAAAACTGATTTTCCTTATTATTAACCTTCTTAACAGTTTTTAAAAAATTTGCAGGGGCTCGACATCCACAAAAGGGGCTGCGCGGATTGGGCCCGGGTGGCCAAGTCTAGTATTTTTAGCTCGGGGCCAATGAAGACAAAAGGCGCGTCAACCTTTTCGGGGGCCTTTTTTTTGGGGGTGTTTTTTCTTTGTGTAATACGGGGGGTGTATCCTATTTTTTCCTTGTAATCATTTTTGGGGGCAAAAAGGGGCTCCGCGGAATTTTTTCCAGTAAGTGAAAGTTTTTTTGGACCCCCCGGGACAAAGTTTTTAAAAAAAAAAAAAACAAGAAAAGACTAAGAAACCCCCCAAATAAATCCTATGAACGGTGTGGTTAAGGGTTTTTTAGGGGGGTAGTTTTTTGAAAAGAGGGTGCAATTTAAAAAATTGGCTTTTTATCCGGTGTTTTTTTTGTTTTTTTGATATTTCTAAGAAAAAACGCTCTTTTGGAACAAAAAGGTTTGGTTGTGGGTTGTTTGTCCCCAGCCCCCTTCCGCCCAAAAAAAAAAAAAAAAAGAACCCGGGCTGCATTGTTGGGATTTTTTCAATTTTTTGGCCCAGGGGGGGAAAAAGGGCTTTTGGGGCCGCTTGGTCGGGGACTCGTCAAGGGGGGGGGCAAGGGGCCGCAAAGGCTGAACTCCTTTTTTCTTCTCTTCCCGTCAAGGGGGGATTTTTAAAAAAAGGACTGTTCCCCCCCCCAACCTCGCGGGGGCCGTTTTTTAGGGTTTCCCATTAAAATCGGGAATTTTTTCCAAAGGGATTTTCCCAAAAAAAAGGGCTTAGTTTTTTCTAGGGCTAATGGTGAGATTGGTGGAACCTACCGCCTGCGCTTATTTAAAAGAAAAGAAACCCCCAACCGTGGCGGGGGGGAACCTTTAAGAGAACCCACACTAAAAGGGGGGTGGCTCGGCTATTTTTTTTTTGGGGGCCAAAAAAAAAAAAAAAAAAAACCGGGGGTGTGTTTTGGGGGAGGGCCAAGCGCCAAGACAAAGAAGTTATTTAAGGGCCCGGGCCCAAGGCCCATTTAAAAATTTTTGCAAAACATTTTTTTTGGGTTTTTAACATTTTTTTTTTTTTTTTTTTTTTTTGGCCCTTTACCGGGGGGGAACCCCGAAGGGGGGCAAATTTTTTTAAAACCAGAAGAAACAAAAAAAAAGAAAGGAAATCCCGCAAAAACGGCCCAAAACCCCAATCAAAAGAAAACCCTCCCACCTCCCAACAGCCACAAATCTTCTTTTTCTCCAGACATTTAAAAAAAAAAAAGGGGTTGTTTAACGAACAATTTTAGGGGGGGAATGTTAAAAATCTTTTACTTTCTTGGGGGTCCGTTTCTGTTCCCAAATCTCCCCCTTTCCCTTCTTTTTTTCCCCTTTTCCTCCCTTTTTTTCACCCCCGTTTGTTTGTTTGTTGAAAAAAAGGAAAAAGAAGGATGGGGAACAAGGAAACAAAAGGGGGGTTTTAAGTTTAACCATTCTAAAATTGGGGTGTTTAAAACCCCCAACTTTAATGTTGGGAGGGGAAAAAAAGGGGGGATTTTGTTTTTGCTTGGTTTTGGGTGGGTTTTTGAATTGTGGGCGGTTGGGGGATCTGTTTTTTGGTTAAATTTTGGGGGCCGCTCGGTGAATGTCCGCGGGTTTCAAGGTAGGCATGTAAACAAAATCTGGCATATGGCTGCGCGCTATACTTTGTGGCCTCACCCGGTTGCATAGCCGACACTTATGCTGTTTAGGTCACGGTGTCTTTTAATAAGCGGTAGTCATATCATTAGCTAGAAGCATAGCTGATCCTGATCGATAGATGGACATAAACGCGAGTGAAGTCTAATCTGGACGGGAGAGAGAGATCAGCTGCTGCTGACGAGGTCGACACGCAGCTCTGCATGATCAACATGCAGCGTGCAGCGGTGAGCGGACAAAACACACACTTCAGGTTAGAATATCACACGTAGCTATTTTAATCACCTCTCAAACTACCTAAACTAGTTATAGATATGTTTAGTTTTACTGTCGGGTCACTCATTACTGGATCCGCGAGCTGCATGATACTGGTATAATAGATTGCCCGATCGGGCAACCAGCAGGTGAGGCTTCATGGCCCGAGCTAAATACTAGATGGCCCCGGGCCATCGGGCAGCCCTTGATGTCGAGCCCTGCATTAACTGTTAGAAGTTAATATAAGAAATCATTTGTCTAGGTTTTGATAAAAGTTTACCTCACTAATGCAGTTTTACATAAATTGTTTTAATTATAACCACCTCTTGAATTATATTTTTTTAAAGAATAGGGGCAGTGATATATGCTGAGAGAAATTTGACATGTTGAAAAACAAAGGCATCAGTGCTCTCTGGTGGACAAACTACATCATGAAGACACTTACTAATACATACCAAATATAGGTTTTTATATCTGAATAAGTACATCAGTGCTGAAAGATTAAACTATATTGTACCCTTTTGAATTACCCTAAGTCCTTTTATTGCAAACAATGATGAAGTAACATTAAAATAAAAAGAGAAGACCGTATTTCACATCAAAAAACAAGCCAGAGATATGTTGATTAAATACAATCAGTAATGCCCCTGATGTTCTTCCCTAAAATGAGTTATGAAAAGAACCATAAAAGTGAAAAAATACATGTAATTAAAAAAACACCCAGTGCGAAGGTGATTCAAGCTATGAGTGACCCTGACAGCATGCACTGGGCCCAACATGTGGACATAGCCCTCCACCAGCACCACACTGACAACCAGGACTGTGTCTCAACAGTTAAGTGCAAAAAGACACCTTTTGGTTGTAAACACACATACACACATTCAGGGATTGAGTCTTTTACAGGGAAACGTCTGGGCAAAGGAGGGGGGAGAAGTCGTCAGCTGTACCACTGTGTACTCTGGGTGTCCTCTCGTTTCAATTTGAAGCCATTTGACCTGCGAGGGCTGAGGTCACGAAGGGGGAGACATGTTTAAAGAAGGCCGTTAACAGAATGATGTGACTGGAGAACAGCACCAGACGTCATTATTGGTCTCACGTAGTGGAGACTCTTGACACTCTGATTTCTTTTATCAGTATTCAAATTTGATTCTCTTTTCAAATGACAGCAAATTGGAGCTGCCGCTGTGTAAATTGAAGATGCCCCGTTGAATCGGTGTTACGCTGCCACTGAAATTATCACACAGCACAGCACACTGCACAAAGTGTTACCATATATCAGAAATGAATAGAGGAACAATCCTCATCGATATCATCCAAAGCCCAGTGCCAGTCCTGGAGACCAAAGTCCTCCAATCTGAAAGGGAGGATTAGTTTTTGATGGCCTGCTCAGAAAAACTAGCATCAAGAAAAAGGATAACTATTCTTTCTAAGTGTTAGGTTTGCCTACTGTTCTCATTCAAAGAGATGTTTGGGTTGTGTAAGTTATGCTGAGTCACACAAGACTGAGCAGATGGGAGAAGCATCGTGTATACAGAGACCAAAGCTCCAACAACTCAATTCTAAAATGTTGATACAAAAATATGTTTATACTCCTCTAAAGAAAGGCTCCACTGCATTCATATAACTGTCCCTCCAAAACAAGTATAGACATATCCTCATTTCGTTTGTGATGACTGTGGGTGCACTAGAGTCGAGAACAATGAGCATCTTTAAAATACTTTATACTATTATAGTGTCTAACACAATTAGTCAGCAGGGAAAACCATTGGAACAACAGCTGCACCAGGGGAATTAGCTTCAGCGGTCATGAAGGGTGCGTTACCCTGCAATAACTTCTACGTGATTTTGGATTATGCCATGCGTTTCTTCAAAATCATTTTTACATTTTCTCTAATCCATCAACAAAGTTTGTGTGTTGATGTATGCATGTGTAATATGCTCATTTTCAGGTATATATTAGAATGTAGTGTCTCTACTGTGACGTGTCTCCATGCTTTAATGTTCAAAAAGCTCTTTATTGTTCTCATACTGCAGCACCTCTTTCCACCCTCTGTCTGAAACCAGAGCCCAGTCTGCTCTGATTGGATAGCTGGCTGGTTCTGTTTTGATTGGTCAACCGCTTAGAGATGTCCCGCTCATTAGCCTATAACGAACAATGTGTTTTAGAGCTAGCCAATAGAAGCGTGAGTGTTAGGGAACACAGAACCTACAGAACACACTACAGGAGAGGGGAGACTGTGACCACTCCCCGTTCATCTGTTTGCATAAGCAAAGAAAGCATTAACACAAACTCTAACCTGTATACAGATAGTCCATTTCAAGAATGTCCTTTTCCAATGGCGTATAGTCAAACCCAGAACCTATTCCATGCCTCCTGCATATACCAACACTTAATACAAACTAGAATGTTGATTACTGAAATACTTGTTTCTCTCTAAAAGCTGGTCCATGAAGCTCAAAGCGACATGCCCTCTGGTGCTGTGCTACCTGCTCTTGCTGATGGGGAGCTGTCGGCTGGGCCTCCTCATGGACTGGCTGGGCTGGACCTTCATGGAGGCGCGTGGCGAGGAGCGTGCAAACTGCTCAGGTGGGGGGGGCTTCTTGGGAATCTTCTTGACCAGTCGGCTCACCCACTTCTGCTGCTCCTCCTGCGTCAGGGCCAGCAGCAGCAGGTTCTTGGCTGAGGACACGTCGTAGTGCACTGGAGGGGGAGAGAAGAGTGCTTTTCAGTTAGTAGGGCTGCTGGGCTTTTTGTCCTCGTTTTCTCATGTTGGACTTCAGATTCAACGAATACAACGAGATGCAGTTTACATCCAAACAGAAAGTGTAAAGAGTAGTAACGTGCATTAGTTTCCTTATGATGTACTTAGTTTTATATGCAGGATTAGGATCTGGGAAATATGGCGTGAATTAAATATGACCACTGCTACATACCTAGATATCAATATATTTACACAATGACAATTTTGATAATAAATGATCAGTAATGGTTATATAATGACTGGATGGAGAAAATAAGAATATCAAAGTGTAGAAAGATCTCAAAAATACACTTTACTGTAACCAGGAGAAGATAACAATGATGCAATATTACAACATACAAAATCTAAGGTATCTGGTCTCGTATCAAGATAGCGATACAATATTGATATATTTCCCAGCCATACTTACTTGTTTAACGATGTCAACAACTTTTAAAGAACAGTTTTATTACATGTAAAATGTTCAACAGAGTTTGTGGAAGTAACAACACTGGTTTTAATTCAAATGTATTCTTTGTTTGTATATCTTAGAGTTGCACTTAACCTGCACCAACAGCTGTTATACGATAGATGTGTGGTCCTACCTTTGCACGGAGCGATGATCTCCTCCTTCTTGTCCATGTGGTCTTTGTGGCACTTGATGTGGCAGCGCCGGCACTCCAGGGCGGGGGGGGGTTTGAACATGTTCCACAGCGGCTTGGTGCACGCCTCACAGTTGGTGGGGAAGTGGTAGAGGGTGGGGATGAACTCGTGGCCCTTGTGGCAGATGTAGCTGGACTTCTCTCCGCTGGGCAGCGGGTCCTCGGCCTCCTTTTTGCTCTCGCCCTCATTGGCATAAAGAATCTGGAAAGATGAATGGGAATACTCAGAATGTTTGACATATTTGATTCTTTCAGCACAAAGAAAAAAGAAATCCGTAGATCACAGACCTGGAATATCCTCGGGATCTCTTTGGCGTCAGCACGGTACACGTCTGTTTGAGTGACAGGCCTCACATGGAAGAGTTTGCTGTGTGAAGAAAGAGTGTTTCATAATTCAAAATCTGAATACTTTATTGATCCGGGGGGCAAATTGAGTTTGGTGACAGCTGCTCCATTTAAGAATATAGTCAAATAAATAATTGTTGTTTCTTTTGCCAACGAGTGTGGATGCAGTATTATGTGATTATACCCGTTTTATTTATTATCAACTGCCTGTCAACACTTTTTAAAATGTATTATATGTTTAATATACATTTTTAAGTTTTTTGTATAATTATTTTTCAAAGGAAAAAAAGAAAAAACTGCACAATGTACTACAATATATAAAAACAATAAATAATAAAAAACGTGTACAATATTTACCGTGGTGAAAACCAGATTATTGCTCAAAATATACAGTTATAATCCTAATATTTGTATTTACTTATCTTCATATTTTCATATATACACTTTAAATAAGCCAATTCTTTAGAAGTAATGCACAGTTGAATAATATATAAATAAAACACAAAATGTTTTATAGCTTTTAGCTGCAATGAAATGTCAGCTGCACCTCAATGCAACACTAAATGGAAGCACTTTGCTCTCATCACAGTGTAACGTGTGACACTCACTCTATATCCAGCACCATGTAGGGGATGGAGTGCTCCTTGTCCAGCTCGTTGTTGTAGAAGAGGATCTTCTTGCTGCTCACGACGACATACTGCAGCAGAAGGAGAGAACACACATTGGGAAGGTTGTGTTAAACCATGGAGAACTTGTTAGGATGCATCAGAGTGATGTAGGTTATGTGAGCAGCTGCATACCTTCCTCTCCCAGCCAAACTTCTTGGTGTTGTTCCTCACAGGGAGGGAGAGCCAGCCCTCCAGCCTCGTTTCTGAGAGAGGAGGAGAGATGTGTGTGAGCACAGTGATCATCTGTCTGTTTCAGAAAGGCCATTAAATATGGATCGAGGTAGTAGAATATTTTGTTAGTTGAAAACTCAATGATTATATCTATCTTTTTTCAATGTATTAGATTTCTAGACTCTGTTCTGGAGTCATTTGAATCCACGAGTCTGAAACAATTCCACACAGCAAACAGTAGTTTTACACATTTGTCCATATAACAACAGGAGGAGCCTAATATGCATGTTCAACTGTGCAGAAACACCAGCTGAGTTTGAATGTAGATTTAAAATGTAAATGCCATTCGAACTAAAGGAATATTGTAACTATTCAGTACAGCCCTCAAATGAACATGAAGTTGGATAGGAGCCACAGTTACACTCCCCAGTCTCAGAGCTCTCACCTCCGTACGCATCATCGGTATCAAAGTCCGGCCCGCTGCAGACGCTGGCCGAGTCCATGGACTGAACACTGAGCGTCTGCATGAGGTTCCTCAGCTGCTCGATGTCGCTGTCTTTACTGTCCAGAGCCATCTGCAGCTCGATACGCATCTGACTCTCCTCTGACAGTTGCTGCGCATGAAGAACAGAAGGAACAGTCAAAGATACAGAAGGAGGAGAAGAAACACAGTAGACACGCTGCTCTAGTCTATAGAAAGCTTATTATCCTACACAGTTGGACAGTTGCCTAAAATGACATTATTAATGATAAGTGATTATTCTCAGAGGTCAGAACAGAGGGAAACTGACCGCCTGCATCTCGTTGATCTCCCTCTGGTACTTGATGATGCTGCTGTTGAGTTTTTCCTTCTCCGACCTCAGCTCCAGCTGCAGCTTCCTGTTCTCCTTCTCCTTCCTCTTCAAGTCTGTGTCATTACCACGGCGACTGCCTCCGCCACGGTCCTTCCTGTTCATGATCTCTGCCAGCTTATTGACGGCCTGTAGGAGGACACGAGTAAAACAGTTCAAGCTTAAGCCTGTTTTCAGAGTTGTACAGACATTTTGTGACGTCTCTTTCCATTTTTAATCAAAACCCCTCAAGCTGACGTCTAAGTGTATAACAAGAAATGAGCCATGTTCATGGAGAAACAAAGTTTGAAACAGTGTTACCTGAGTTTTCAGCGTCTTCTCTGACTGCAGCTGCTTCTCAAAGGCCTGCTTCATCTGGCTGATCTGCTGCTCCCAATCCTTCGACTTCTCTGATTCTGAAAGATGAAAAAACTAAGTAACGTTATCCCTGACAATATATTGCTTTTAATACAAATTAAGTTTGGTGCAAAACGTTTTATTGACCTTCTATTGCCTCGCTCAGCTTGTTGTTCAGCTCCTCCTTCTCATTGGCTAGGTTGGCGACATCACTGGTCAGAGTCCGGTTGGCTTCCTCCAGCTGCACCGGGCGGGGAAATATTGTCATATTCACTACGTATTTGTGTTTTAAAGGGCTAGCTTGGAAGTTTCACAATAAGACAATAAAACATATCAATCAAGGACCAGCATCTCACGTGTTAAGGAGCGTTAAATTCATGTTTTTGTCAGTAGAGTCTAGTGGCTTTGAAGTGAGCATAACTAAAACATGTACAACTTGTATAAACCAATAACCATTTTTGGCAGAAGGTTTTATCATATTCTTGTTATAACTTGTTTATTGATTGCCAGTGCATTCCCTTAAAATTACAAGCTTTGGTTAAACTGACCCTATTTTAAAATGTGCTGGATTTGAACTTGATTGTGATACTTCAGTAACAAGGTGAGCTATACACATTGCCTACTGTGATAAACAACTGCTTTTCATTCAACTGTGGGTGGATGCAACTCACAGAATTGATGGTGATGTCCTTGTCTGAGAGCTCCTGGCGATGGCGGGCCATCATCTCCTTCAGCTCCAGCTCCTTCATGATCTTCTCCTTCTCCAGGTCCGAGTACTGCTCCTCAGCGATGGAGCGCGCAAGCTGCTCCGAGTCCGCCTTCGTCAGGGTGATCTCCAGCTGAGCAGCCAACGAATCCCTGAAAGACATTTTCAAAAACAAACTAATGAGAGGCTGAACAAGTGAATCCCAAACCCAAAAATCAACATTTATATTAACTGATGGCTTCTTCCTCATTTGGTTTCAAAAAAGCTGATGAGGTTTTGTCATGAACTTTTAAAGTGTATAAAAAAGAAACATCTTTATTTTGTACCTCTCCTCCTGTAGCTCCTGCAGAGACTGCTGCACGTCTTTGTAGAGTTTGTTCCTCTCCTCACAATCCTCCTTTAGTTCCCGAACCTGGGTCTTATACAGGGTCTGGAAAATACACACACACAGATACACACGATGTGATGCAACCCCTTGTGTCTGAGCACATTATGAATACAGCAGTCTACTACTGTGCTTTGCCACAGGGAGCACTAGAGAAGCAATACAACGTTTTATAAAAGCCTTTCCTAAGTAATAATGAGAATAAAGTATATTCTACGGAAACCCTGAGAGGCGAGAGAGAAAACAATTAAGTATTTGTTGTTGTAATACACATGTTGGCCACAAAAGGCAGAAGTTCCCCCATTAAAACCGTTTCAATCAAAAAATCGTCATAGCAAATAATTTGTTTCACTTGTCCTTAAATCATAATCAAAGGAGAAAACGATTTAGAGTTTAATAAAACAGATACGTGCTTTAATATGCAATGCAATTGTGCTCATGTATTTGTAACCGTGCTCACGTGTTTTTGACTTTGATCATGTGAGGGACTGCAGATAAAAATGAGCCTGTATGGATCAATCTGGCACAGTTACATGATGGACTCAAGTTCTTGTTTAATGCAGGATATAAATAACCAGAACGTTTTTTTCTCTCATGGGCCTCTGATGGCTTCCATATAAAAAACTATGAGCCATAAAATGAAAAATATAATCAAGGAAAACATGTAATTTGGGTTCTATAAAGCATGATATTCATATGTAGTACATATAGGAAGAAATCCTTAGCTATTTAATACAAACAGCAGCATGCATTAGCTAGTGAAATAAGGCGATGGTGCTATGGTTGAAGGCTACAGCCCACACACGCTGCATGCAAGACGCAGAACATTATGTGTTGCACTTAGTCCTTTCACATCCACATGATTCATCACACAGCAGAATAAAGACTCACAGAGAAATACTGCTCGGCTTCCAACTGGTCCTGTAACTCCTTCATTTGCCCGTCTGTGTCCTGTCTTTCTCTGCCGTCACAAAAAGAAGAACATTACTCATCATCCTCAAATATGAATCTTTGAGTATGAATGCTTGAAAGGAGACAGAGAGAAAAGTGAACGGACTTGCGCAGCTCCTGGTTCTGTTTCTCCAGGCTGCGTTTGATGTCCAGCAGGTGGTTCATTTCCTGCTTGAGCTGCTTCTCGGAGGATCGCAGAGAGTTCAGCTGCTGGTTCTGAGCCTTCAGGTCATTCTGGGTCAGGCTCCGCTTCTGGGTCTCCTGCTCGATCTTCAGCGTCAGGTTCTTCACCTGAGAGAATGGAGAAAACACAAAGGGAATGAGAGGATATTAGTTAGATCTCTGTACTTCCTGTTTTCCATCAACTAAATAAGCTGCCAGACTTGTTTCCTAGGCGTTGTTTCATATCGAAACACAAACTGCAGAGGATACAAACAGTCCCTCACCTCCTCAGTGAGCCGGTCCTTGTGTCTGCGCAGCTCGTCCAGCTTCTGCAGAGCCTGCTTGTAGTCACAGTCCATCATGCTGCTGTGCTTCTCCAGATCCAGGATCCGGTTCTCCAGACGAATCTTAGCCGCTCGCTCCTCCGCCAGCTTCTGCTCCATCTCTGTTTGATCATATCAATATGTTATCCACAAGTTAAAGTCATGTTAAAGAATCACTTTTGTATTTTTCGCCCTGGAACCTTTCCCCCCATTATTCTAGGTTTCAAATGGGACCATTTGTGTCTGAGAACATTAAAAGAGATATCAAGTGTTTCTTTACCTTTCGCCCGGTCTGACTTTTGTTGTAATATAGTTACATTAACAAAGTCTTGTTCTGACATCATGGGTCGTATCAACATTGACATATTTAGCTAATTATTTAGCCATGTCATTGAAAAGTCTTTTAGACCACACTAAGCTTCAGTCTCTATACCAGGACACAACAACAACAAAAACATCACTTTTAGTGGATGTGCAGCAAACTGGACCGATATCAAATGCTGTTGCTCCAAACTATCACTTAGAGATACGATCATGTTAAATGACCCTGAACAAAGAAAAACCTTAAGTCAATATTACTGAGTATGTAAATTGTTATACAATTATAATATATATACTATTTTAAGAAATGGACATTGTATGTACGTAAAGCGCTTTGAGCATTTGGAAAAGCGCTCAAATACATGCAATGAATTATTATTATTAATGATTAATTGATTATCATGTGACTCGAAGCAATGTATTCAGGGAAGAAGGAGTCGTCAGACGTGTCCACTATGGATGTTAAGATTCACCGATTCGCATCGGTGCACCGGCATAAACATTCAAGATGCGAGTGCACCGGTTGAAAGAGTGCTCATCGGCTACAGTTTGGGTTGAACTCGCGATGCATCGATTGTAGCGTCTTTGCATTGGTAAAAAAACGATTCATTCATATAATATCCCCTCATCCTGTCAGGACTCAGCAGAGACGATCTTTGATCTTTGCTTCGCACTACGGAGGCTGAGAGTCTCAGTTATCAACACACATGGAAGTTGAGGAGAAAGAGAAACACAGCGCACCGAAAAATAACTACAAATCAAACGTTTGGCAACACTTCGGATTTTTCAAGAAAAACGGTCAACTTGAAAAATCGCTCACAAATTGTAAACGATGCCGAGCCGCTTTAAAGTACACAAGTAGTACGAGGAACTAGCGACGCACATAAAGAGGTGACATGGGGTCTGCGGCTGAAAAGAGAAACCTGAAAGTTAGACTATGAGTTAAATCACTCAGTAAGGTATTCTGTCAGAGAGAGTGGTGTTTAGTTTACAGCAGCCTGTGACTGCCAATAACAGTTGAAATGTCTTCCTTACTGTAAGCAGTTATGAAATACCTGTTTGTGAAAAGTTATTTGTATTCTTTATTGTTCATATAGAAACCACTGCTTTCTGCTCACTGGTGAGTTAGCCTATGAATGAGTGTTAAGCACATCAGGCTGGCAGCTGTATGGGCATTGCACTATGGTAGCTGTTATCTGCACATTGTTAATCATGGGCAATGCATCCTTAAATTGTTTAACTGTGAGGTGTTATACAATTGTACTGTAAAAAAGAAACAGCATGATGGAATGTGCAGTAGTAGTAGAGAGAACCAAATATGTAAAGCACTTTTTTGTTGATTTATGATTTGCTAAATATAAGGAATAAAACAAAATCCTCTGTCGTGCCATATTGAAATATCATTATTTTTGCATCGTATCGCCCGAATCGCATAATGTTAAATCAAATCGTACTGAACTGTATCGCACCAGGGGTGTATCGTATCATATTGCATGGTGCTTCAAATGTATCGTTAATGTATCGTATCGTTGGCAACGTATGGAAATGCGCATTGCATCGGCCTCAGTGTCCACAGGTGCCAAATGACTTCACTAATGTTAAATTAATTGATTATCCTTTAAAAGACCTTCTGTGTGATTGACCAAACTAGGATCATCAGAGAATGGAGGTCAACAATGATGTCGGGAGAGGGCCCTTACCCTTCATGGACTCTGACTTGGCGCCCTCGATGGTCACTTTGATCTTGCTCTTGTCTGCCAGCATGGCCCTGGTGGTCTTATGAGAGGCCTCCTCCTGCTCCAGCTCCTGCTGCAGCACCTTCAGCTGGTAGGTCAGATCGATCTCCTTGTTAGACTTCTCCTGCGCAAAGAACACGGAAAAAAGAGACGTTGTGATCATCCAAATGAGCAAAACTCAGGTAAGAGCCACACATTGGATAGCATAATAATGCCAACATCCCCATAAGCTTAACTTCAGACTTCTGGAAGCAAAGTAAAGCTCAGATAATGAGCCCTAAATGAATGTCATCTGAAATCTTTACCAAATAACGAAAGCACTGAATGATTAAAGTAAATTATGCCCTTTTGATAATCAAGGCAACCAAACAAACATCAGCAGCTGATCCATGTAAACACTTACAATGCTAAACATGGCGGCGATTAAGTAAGGTTATCAGAAACCTTTTTAGAAAGGTCAGTTGTACAATAATGTCTAAAGAATAAGGCTTTAAAACAGTCTAATAAATCAGCCTGTGGATTATCTATTGACCTCTGTTGTGATACTGCAGCAAACTAAGAAGGCAGGGGAACGAGCCAACACACTGCTTTAATTAATGATGTCAATGTTTTAGATAAAGAAATCAACCCTGAGGTATTCATACAACATTCATTAACCCTGCCAGGTTGTAAATACAAAAAAGTTCAAAATAAAGTCCATATAAGGTAAATACAAGCAGGCTTTTCTGGTTTACCTTCTCCAGGTCGGTGTGTTTCTCCTGAAGCTGTCTCTTCTCAGCCTCAGTTTTGGACAGAGTTTGTCTCTGCTGACGGGCCTCCTCCTCGAGGCAGGAGATACGTGCTGCAGGACAAAAACAAGAGTCCTTAGATCAGTTAAAGTATTAGAATAATACCTCCAACTAGGGATGGGTATCGCTAAGGTTTTAACGGTACTACTACTTTTATCGATACCGCTTATCGGTCCGGTCTTTTAACGGTACTCTTATCGGTTCTTTTGGAGAGAAAAATAAGGTAAACTAACTAAACAAATTGTGAACAAAACTAAAATTGTTTTTTATTTAAATAAAATAAATAATATTTCACATCAAAGGAAACAACAGTGTTTAAACAAATGGTATTAAATAATGTGATGACAGAATAGCTGAAACTTTAACAAAAGAAATAACTCAGTTACCTCTAATCATTAACCCATGTTTGTATAATTGAGTTAACTCCGTGTGTTGCTGCTAGCATACACAACACCTGACGTGGAAACGTTACTCGTGGATGGGGCTACAGAGCTACTAGAAAGACAGTCGAACCCGGTGCATTCCTCCGTCTGAATGTGGAGCACTTTTGATAAATGTTTAGACAAATTGCTCGTGTTACCGCCCTTACATGCTAAACTCTTATTGTCCACATCGAGGCGGGTAAAGTTTAACCACACCTCGGAGCGCGTTCTCTCCGCCATCTCCGCAGTGTGTGTGTGTTGCAGCATGTAGCAGCTGCGTGTGTGTAAAATGCCCCGCCCCCTCGCAAGCAGGCGGGGGAGAGAGATTGAAAATACAAAAAATAATCATAGATGCATTTTGCAGTCTTTTTGCGTATTAGAAACGGAGTTGGCGACACTAAAACTGCAATATAATGTTTGTGTAGCAATAAAACATGACATATATTCTTTACATGTCTCCAGTACCGATAAAAAGACCGATAACTTCGGAGCTTAACGGTACCACGGTCTTTAATAATTCAGCCCCGGGGCCCGTTTAATACCGGGGCTCGGTACCCATCCCTACCTCCAACACATGCACAGAACCTACAACAAACTTAACACTTTTTCTGAATTCACCATATAATGATCACTCCCAGCAAGACACATATGGGCTTATGATTTATCGTCCAGCCAGACTTGAACCTTTTAGAAAATGTACGGCAATACAAAGTGAATATAGCATTGTTAGTTCTGGAAAGGTATATATAACCTTCCCCCTGGATATTCCCATAATATCCGTGCCATTGAGAAACATTATGATGCTTTTAAGGTCTTCATTTGTGATGGACGATTATTCAATTCACTTCTTCTATCAATTGACATATTATGAAATGATGATTTGGGTTCTTTGAACACCACTTACTTTATCACATATTGAATATACTGTATATTGTCTGTGTTTATACAAAGAATATACAGTACGGTATATATGTTCTTGTCTACACAAATGCTCAATCGTCAAACAATCACTGTTGATACTTCCATATGGACAGAACTGCAGCTGTGCAATGCTTTTGTCCCTGTGCTGAAATGTGTACTACAATAAAGTTTTAGATAAAGATCAAGTTTGGCTCATTTAATCATATCAATGGTATTATAAAGGGCTGGTCAGCTTTGAGTCTGCGTTTATCATTTAATTATAAAATAATTGGGTTTAAAATGATTTCATATGCTGCAAAAAGCATTTTATGTTGATGTATAATTCATTTAGGCTAACAGGTGGTGTGCACTCAGTTAAATGAAGTTCATATCTGGATAACATGCAGACTGATTGGTTAGCTGGCGGGCACTGTTACAGTATGATGGAGAGCTAGCCAATAGAAGCACAGAGGTAAAATAATTATGTCACTTCGTTATGGAAGTAAACAAAAGAGTCCAAACAAAGCGTTTCCAATGTTTGTTCATACATACACAATTGCCTGATATTCAAAGTTATTGTCTTAAGGCAATCTTTAGAATTTGAATATTAACATGATTCAAATGAATGCCTATTCTCCAACATGCTGATTCATTGGGGGAAAGCACTTAATCTCAGATTCAATAACATTGTTCTACATTGTTTCATGTGTAACGTCTGGTCACTGCATCCCAACAACTGCACTTTGACCAAACAGAAAGTGAACTGAGGCGTTTCCTTGGTGGAACAAACGGATGCTGAGCAGGAACCTGGGTGTGTGAACGGCACTGGGTTTGAGTATGACCTCACCTCAATTACAGCAATCAGATAAAGCTTTTACATGACAGTCTCAATGGCCCCAGAAGTACCTTAATCAGATTATGGTTAAATGATTAGCCTCTGTTAAAACACTCCCTCGTACAGTTACTTAAATTCACATTTGCTACTGCTGACCAGCTGCAATGGAGACACTGTCTGTTGTTATTCAAGGACAGTAAGAAGGGAGTAGGACATGCTCTCTATACAGAGATGTGTTTAACCAGTGTGGCTTAAGCCTTGTATCTGGAAATATCAGATGCATTTGTACACACAAATTGATTGTGTTGTTTGTTGAATGGATGCAAACCCTTTTTTTAAATACTATTTTTTGCCTTCTATGTCTGTCTGTGTTCATCTGCCACGTGAGCTGCTGAGACACCACTTTTATCCAAGGTGTGTAATAACATTTCTACTTCATAAAAACAAAGGTAACTATGCGCTTTAGGCAGAATTCTATATTCAAGATTATTAACATCTTTTGATCTTAAGGTCCACGAGCCTCTCCACAGACACATGTAGCCTGGCAGAGGAGAAACAGGTGAAGTGATGGACATGTTGTTGTCAAACAGGCTCGGTCGTAAACAACTGAGGATTCAGTTTTTTTAGCTAAGCTAGACAAGAAAATACTAATAAAACAGATCAGAGACGCTGGTTGTTGGCTTGGAGGGATTCCATGTTGCCCCAGTGCATTTTTGTGGAGCAAGCACTGTGCCAGACTTGCTTTAAAGAAAATAGTTTTATAAATGTGATGGTACTTGTCAGCAGATGGTTATTTCGCTTTAATGAAAACTCTACTCCTGGCCTTTGGCATGATGCTATTCACCACTGAGAAGGAAATAACGGGAGTAATGACAAGCTCTAAAAGTGACGTATTTTGCCATGTGGTGGATCTGATTTATGCCCATGTAAAGAGTGTTTCATAAGAATTTACAAAAATATTTGGAAGAGAATCTGATGAATACATCTTTGAAGTGTTAAAATGTAATATTTAGGAATGAAATTTGGTTTGGTTGTTGAAGCCCCCAAATCTATAAATAGAGATATTTCTGGCTCAGTTGAGCGGTCGTCCATTTGTAAAGTAGGCGGTTTGGACCACACGTCAATGGGCAAGATATTTAACCCCAAATTGCTCCTGATGTCACTTGTATCTGTGAAAGTGCTTTGAAGGGTCTCTAAAACTGGAAAAGTGCTATATGTATATATATATACACATCAGTGGCGAACCGTCAGGGCCTTCAAGGTATTCAGGGAAAACCAGGGATGTAACGATACCAAAAACTCACGGTACGATAATATCGCGATAACAAGTCCACGGTACGGTATGTATCGCGATATTGAATAATAAAGAGAAACATTTTTTAAAAAGAAAATGTTTGAATTTCTTTTGGAAATTTAAAAATGTTTTACTTGGAAAAATGTTCTTTATTCAATAATAAATCTGATTTGTACAGCATTTTAGTAGGATAGCAGTATTTTAAAGTGTCAAAAACAAAGTGACAGTGACAGACTGGAATAAGAAAACCAGTGTTTTTGTACCTACTAGTACTACCAAACAAAGTAGGAATTTTCTTTGTGCCACTGCACCTCACAAATAAACAAGGACATTTAATAATCAGACCACGCAATAAAATAAATCAAGTTTCACTTTAGTTTTTCAAGTAACTCAACTCAAACTCACTAAGTCACTCACTCAGCATCATCAGACAGTTTTTTAGGAATATTAGCATGTCCACATTTCCAGGTAGAAGCTGGGATGTTTGGGCGTTTACAATATCCCCTGCTGCGGAAAAAACTCTCTCGCTTGGTACAGATGTTGCTGGGACAGTAACCAGTTAACCGAATATTTTTTGTTAACAATGGCAACAACAATTTTCCAAGAAGGGGAGGCTTATTGACAGGGCGAGATATAAATATACTGTTGGTACTTGTCAATGTCTCTAGGTATGTAAATGTAGCCCTGTAAATACAATGTCCTTTTGTGTTATCTGTTGTTTTATGTTCATGTTGTAACCTACTTGCCAAACATGCTGCCATGTTGGACAGGTCTCCCTTGAAAAAGAGATCGATGATCTCAATGGGACCACTAGTTTTTTTTTTTTTTTATCGCGGTAGATTTTGTCAGTCTCACGACGGTATTGGGACGTTTATTTATCGCGATACCGCGATATTCGGTATATCGTTACATCCCTAGAGAATACCCTGGAACACAAAAAATCGATTTAATTATATAAATAAAATGTAAATAAAACGAATAAATGAGAATCGTATCTGTGTTGTTGATCTGTAATATTACAGTGTTACGTTGATTTGTTTGTCCTTCTCGGACCATGCACTACGCATTTCAGTGGTTTTGTGTTAGAAAAGAAAGCAACCCATCAGATCTTGTTCTGGGTGGAATATCCTTCAACCAAGGTATTCTACATCCTTGATTGAATGCCCCGGCCGTTGCACTGAATGAGAGCGTACGTTTGGACTGACAGTTTGATCAACCAATCATATGTTGATTTGTAGCCAATGGGCGTATTCTTTCAGTTTCCCTCGGTTCCAGGGTACTCTAGAAGGCCCGCTAGTTAACTGGCTCGAGACAGAGGATCTAGATCAGGGGTGTCAAACTCATTTTCACAAAGGGCCACTCTGGGAAATTGGAATCACATTAAGGGCCGGACATATGCTTTACTGACATGCCTTTTTTATTCAATAAACAACATAAAAACATATCTTTCAATGTATTGTTGTATGTACTATATAGCCTTCCCATATATATTTAAACACATTGCTTGGCCAATACATTGAAAGATATGTTTTTATGTTGTTTATTGAATAAAAAAGGCANCGGAGGCAGGCAGGAGCCCGGTTTCGGCCGGACAGGAACCGGAGCCAGTGGGACAAGGCTTCGGCAGGACCAGGATCCCCACGGAGAGGACCAGAGTTGCAGGACCCCGGGAAACAGGTGACGGCGGGCACGTCCAACGGAACCAAGACATGGGATTGGCAGGACTCTCAGCGGGTCCCTCCAACGGACAGAGACATAGGGTTGGCAGGACCCCGGCAGAAGAGTAGGTCGACGGGACCCCCAAAGGGGCAAGGACCCATGGAGCTGGCAGGAACCCCAGCCGGAACCTCCAAAGGCACAGGACATTAGGGATTGGCAGGACCCCGGCAGAATATTGTCGGCGGGACCCCCAACGGGACAGGACATGGAGCTGGCGAAAACCCCAGCGGAACCTCCAAAGGCACAGACATAGGTTGGCAGGACCCGGCAGAAGAGGTGTCGGCGGCGGACCTCCCAACTGGGAAGAGCGACTATGGGTGCAGGACACACAGGGTGGCAGAACGCCCCGGCAGAAGAGTAGTCGGGCGGACCCCCAACGGGACAGGACCGTTGTATTTGTTGTCTATTGACTCCCTATATGTGAACCTCCAACGGCACAGGACATTTAGTTGCTAGGACCCTCGGCAGAATGTTATGTTTTTCCGCCAGGCCTCCAACGGCACAGGACACATGTGTTGGGCAGTTCTCTCCCGTGAAAGGAGGGCAGTCGTTGTTTTTTTTTTCTTGTGTATCTCTATCCCAACGGGACAAGGACATGAGTTGGCATCGGCTGGAACCAGCAGAGGACGAGGTGCTGGAGTCGGCCGGTACGCCGACAGGACTCGGGAGCTGGCATCGGCTGGAGGAGCACGCAGGAGACGATGGTGGCTGGGGAGTCGGCCGGTACGCTCGACAGGCTCGGGGCTGGGCGTCGGCTGGAGAGCCCAGTTCCTGTAGCGAACGGGCAGTCGGGAACCATGGCTACTGGGGCGCCAGGACTGGGGCCTGAACCATGGCTGCTGGGGCCGGAACCAGTGCTGGAACCATGGTTGCTGGAGCCAGGACTGGGCTGGAACCAACATGGTTGCTTGGCGCGCAGGACTGGGGCTGGAAACATGGTTGCTGGGGCCGGAACCAGGGCCACTGGGCCAGAACCCGGGACCGGGTAATCATGGCTCTTGGGCTGCGGTGCTAGCCTGGCTCCTGCGAGCGCGCGTTGTATTAGAAAAGCCGCCTGAAGGCTCCGTGGACCTCCAAAAGCCAGACGAGTTCCAAGAAAACGATCCTGCGACAGGAGCAGGAACTGGACAGAGGCACGGGTTTGACTCCAGACAAAGGAACCCACTGAGGCGCCTAGATGGTGCCAGGTTCGGGAAGTTGGGAGACAGGGAGCTAGCATGCCTGGGGCTAGCAGGCCGGGAATACACACCGAGGAGGATATTCGAAATCCAGCCAGGTAAGATTTCACCAAACCTGGTTTCTCCATAGCCATCTGGCCTCGCCTCTGACAACACAGCCCTCGCTGCTGAACTCCGGATCTCTCTTCCATCGATCCGGAGCAGGTTAGCCACAAAAAAAGGAAAAATTCAATAATTCCAGCTCAAACGGATCTGCTGGGCCCATTTCACAGTTGGTTGGTTGGTTCTGATACGAGGAGTGAAGCAGGCAGGACCCAAACGCAGATAACACTTATAATACCTTTATTTCAAGGGCTACAGGTGAACACAATCAGACAACTAGACACACCAGGGAAACTAACGACAGGAGGAAAAACACAGGGAAGAGGACCAGACAATAAACCAAGAGGAAAACATGACAGGGAGAACAGCAAAACACCCAAACCTAGACATAGAAACGTGACATGAGAATCTTGACATTCGAGATTTTAACAGTATCAGGGGCACGCAGGCCATGGTGGCCGTAGGACGTACAAATATTTTCGGGGCTTCACGGCCAGACCGAGGGGCAATGACGGCATGGCCGTCGTGAAAATCCTACCCTGGTGCACTCGCAGCACTCACATTCTATGACTGAGTGACTCTCTGTATTACGATAGATATGATATCTCTGAAAAGGCATATCGTGGAGACCTAATATCGTCATATCGCCCACCCCTATTTGTAATACATATTAAAGGGGCCCTATCCGAGGGAGTTTCTCTCCCCCTGCCTGAAACGCCTATGTTGGATTCCTTTCTTAACTTCTTAATAGTGATATCATTATGTAACACTCACACTTCTATTGGCTGGAACTCAAAGCGGTTGTCAGTAGAGGCACAAAATGCAAATATGAACCTGAGAATTAGCCGAATATGTCCTCTTTAAATTGCTGAGATTTATTAGATAAATGGTACAGAAAAGGTACAATGTATTGACATTTTTTATTGGCCATTGAAAAACCCATATTGGAAACTTAAAATGGAAAAGCCCCTTTTTGCTGCAGCCCTATAAGGATGATGGCAGAAGGAGGCAGTGGGCTACTTCTTGTGTACTGCATTACTCAGACATTACATAACATGTTGATGCTTGCTGTTCAGCTGCTCACATCACACTCATGTTTACCACTGGGTTGTTTGGTGATGCTTTAGGCTAAACAAAGTCAACATCTGTATATTTTGACTCTGGCTTTCTCCTGGATATGTATCAGTAGGTCATGTTGTAGCCAGTTGCTTGTGATACTGTTAAACTGTAAACATGGCTCAACAACTCATTCACTCTCTTTGTTTCAAGGGAGGTGCGACTGGGCAGAAACGGCGTGGATGAAATCATGCGACACCCTTTCTTCAAGAACGACCAGTGGACCTTTGACACCATCAGGGACAGTAAGTATCAACAAAGTTCCTGAGCCAATTAAATATGCCTTTTTTTCTCCAACTCCAAAAAAAATTCTGTAATTCACACCTACCATTTTCCTTTCTTTCTCTCTCCTCCTCAGCGGTGGCTCCTGTAGTCCCAGAGCTGAGCAGTGACATAGACACCAGTAATTTTGACGAGATTGAAGATGACAAAGGCGATGTAGAATCATTCCCCACACCGAAGGCCTTTGTCGGGAACCAGTTGCCATTCGTCGGCTTCACGTACTTCAAAGAGGATCAGTAAGTCATCTGTTTCTCTAGCTGTGTTTGATCATGTTCAGCCCTTAGAGAGTTATTATTTGCTGTGAACTTGACTTTGTCCGTTTTCCATCTTAAGGTTACTAACCGCTTCCAACAACATCTCGGTGGCTCATGATAATTCGAAAGGAGAGGTGGGTTTCTTCACTTCCACAGACTGTAACTGCCAGGTGCACCTCGAGCAACTCTAGTAAAACTGTCCGTCCCGAGCTTCTCAGGAAATAAATACGCCAGGCATCAGTTTACACGACCACACAGGCCTGTTGACATTGCGATCAATCTAGCTTCATTCTGTAAGAGGTTAGGGATTATGATGGAAATGACTAAGAAAAACGGATTCTTTTCTTCTGATCCCCTGATTTATTTGTATTTTGTTAGAATTTCAATGTTCTTAGTCACACAGTAATACTTAAGCAGCTTTTGCGAGTAGCTGGCTTTGAAGCTAATCTCTTATTAGCTTTAACGCTAACTGAGCAGCCTAATCAATCAACTAAGAGGAGAGAGGCAACAAAGGCCATGTTTTTCTTTCAGCTCACCATATGCTGTTAGTACAATGCCACTGCAAATGTTGCTTTGTTATTCATTTGTTGTATGGGACTAAAACATTCAAGATCATTTGGGTTTTCAATAGATTGAAATGAATTCTAATCTGAATAAATGATAGTTTTTTATATTTGCTTGGAAAAGACCCCAATTGCAGATATTTCAACTGAAAAACATTGCATTATTGCGGCACATGACACATGCATTGAATAGAGATATGAAAAAGTGGGATTAAGAATAAAAAAGGTTTTATTTCATATCATATATTTGTATAAATAGACACAAGCCTATCAATTATACCCGTCTTTTGCATTAACATTAGAAAAACGCAATTAAGCCCCTGACAGACTTTTTAGGGTTATTTATATAATACTAATATTATGATATATTTTTACAACATGCAGCAATTTACATTCATTTCAATTATGATAAAACATTATATTATACACGTTTTATGGTAGTATTATTTAATTGATAACATTTCAATTAATGTGTTAAATTGATAGCCCTATAATAATGATAATAATAATAATAATAATTCTTATAGGTTTGAGCTCTGCAAGTTGTAGTAATACAAGGCGACTTTCGGCTCATCGTTTTTCTTTGGAACAAACATTCACAACAACAGCCACATAGATGATACAGTAGAGTCACAGGGAAGATGGATAACATGCAGTTATGGTTGCAAATTGATTAGTAACCCTGACGTGTGATTGGTCGGTTGTTGTCCCTTCACAGTCAGCAGCACTGCAGAAGAAACTGGTCCTCATGGAGAAGCAGCTGAACAATGAGAAGCAGGCCAAAGTGGATCTGGATCACAAACACAGGTACAGGACGCGTCTCTCTATTCCCCAGCCCAGTTTAGATTGAGCCATTGAAGGAAAGAATTAGCCAACTACTTTTTCCCTCAGACCCTCTCCCTCACTTCCTGCCCCTCAGAGAAAACTGTACTGCTTCAGATTGTTTAATGGCTTATTCTGCTGGAAATCCATACTGAATGAATTATAAAAGATGAATTAATTAACATATACTCAGCTCTGCATAACTGTGCTCTGACACTGCGTTGATGCTTACAGAAATGTGTGTGTTCAAATATAAACTGGGTTGGAAAAAGGATACAGGACGAGTACAGGACTGTAGAAACGTTACTTAAAGACAAAAGGTCAGCAACCATCACAGTCCGAGCTTAAGTAAATATTGTTCTGTTTTCTTTTCACAGAGCTGTCACAAGCCGTCTAGACAAAATTGCCAAAGAACTTGAAGAAGAGGTAAGTGAATACTCTGGAACAACCGTGGAGACACAGCCAGACACCTGTTAGTGTTTGACATCAGTTGCATATGTTTGGCTTAGTCCTATTTTTAATATTACCTGGTGAAATGACCCGATTTCCTCATTGGGGTCGCTCCAGTTCCATCTTTTCACGAATTATTTTCCCAAAAATATGTTTAAGTCAGATTCCTCACTTTTCACTTGACAGAGTTTTGAGTGAATGCCTAACAGTTGAAATCCCATATGGTTCAGCTGGAGCCAGTATTCAATATTCAACCCCATTCAAATGTCTTAAGTGGATTGGATTTGTGTCGATCCTCCATTTTATTCTCAGGGAGCATTTGTCCTTAAGCGAAATTTGAAATCGGAGCCTTGTAATAGCAGCCCTGTAGGACGTGTTGAATAAAGTGTTGAATGACGTGCTTTAGGTGAGCAGCCGGAAGAATCTAGAGTCCACTCTGAGGCAGCTGGAGAGAGAGAAAGCTCTGCTGCAGCACAAGAGCCTGGAGAGCAATCGCAAGGCAGAGGGCGAGGCCGACAGGAAGCGCTGCCTGGAGAACGAAGGTGAACCGAGACACACACACACATATTGTATATTCTATTCAAATATATGACAAGATGCATTCATCTTCAGTGGCTACACTTAAGCAAAGGATAGGGTGGCCTGCCCAACCATTTCGTAATTGACAAAGACTAGAAAGAGCACAGAGAACACATATATCCGCCAAGGACAGTGGTGCCTTCTTCCTTTTGTTGTGTTTATCGCCAAAGAACATGTGTTTTATTTGATTCCTCCTTAAATAACGCCTTGATAGCTGTTTCCGTGAACTAATTCCTGCCAATTATTCTGACGTCACTTTTGTTATATAATAAATAAAGAAATCTAAAATACAAATCGGATGAATACAACACAACTAAATAAATGAACATAAAATACCTTATATATAACAATAGTAGCAAAAACATAAAAAATAGATAACAAAAAACTCAAAAAGGCTGTTAGACTGTAACTGTGAGTTTCGATGGAGGTTTATTGACCAGCTGATATAATGTGGACATTACTGCCATCAGCTGGTCAAATAACTCTTTTTATAATCAAAGATAGGAGATAAAGAATCTATTGCAAGTCTGAAAAATATACGACTCCTACAAAAAACTTCATTATGCTTCAAAACCTAATTGTGACATTTGCTAATTATTAACCCTGGAAATGCTTCTTAAATACACCGCTTTGTTTTGTACTCCTTGTTTGTTGACTGACTCCCTACTGCGCTGAACAACAATGTCCGTTTTTTCCAGCTGAATACTTTTGTATATCGCACAGAGCTTTTTAGTTTCTATAACCCTTAACACAATTTGATGTAATGGTTTCTTTTCTCTGTGACACCCAAACTTCTCACTGTTTAGAACTCAATAATAAAGGAATAATACTGGAGAATTGTTCGGCTACATATAAAGGAAAGGAATGAACCATAATGCATCCCTGTGTGTTGTGCAGTGAATGGCCTTAGAGACCATCTGGATGACATGAAGAGGAGGAACCAGAACTCCCACATTTCCAATGAGAACAACATCCACCTGCAGAAACAGGTCCGTGTTATAATCTGCCTGTTGACAGTGGCACTGACGTTAAATGTACCTAGTATTGTAAAAATACACAAACAATTGTTGATGGGTTGGAATTGAATGAAGTAATGGTCATTTTAATAATTTCATTTTTTTTTCTTCTCACAATTTAAGGTTTCCAGATTATTCCAATTAACGCTCAGCGCCTTACATTTACACATGTGTTTACTTACAAGTTTACAACCATTGTGGAACAGTACAAAAAAATATTTTATTATGGAATAAATAATGTATTTCTATTCCGAATAATGTGCTTGATTGAAAATGTTTATCCAACAGATCTGAGGAAGTACTAACAAGTGGCCAAACTAAACTGATCTCCACACACGTTTCCTCCCCTTCAGCTGGATGAAGCCAACACGTTGTTAAGGGCAGAGTCGGAGGCGGCAGCCAGGCTCCGGAAGACGCAGGCGGACAGCAGCAAGCAGCTGCAGCAGCTGGAGGCCAACGTGCGTGAGCTGCAGGACAAGAGCTGCATGCTGGAGCGCAGCAAGCTGAGCCTGGAGAAGGAGTGCATCAGCCTGCAGGCGGCGCTGGAGACAGAGAGGAGGGAGCACTGCCAGGGCTCAGAGACCATCAGCGACCTCATGGGTGGGTGGCACACACAACACACCACACCACAACACACACAACACACACAACACACACACACACACACACACACACACAGCTTTTAAGGCTGTAAACAATCTGGTTTTTAGATGTGATTTGAAATATGGTAAATGGACTGCATATATATCAGTGGCGAACCGTGTCTATCACAACTGGACCTTCTGTAGACACACACACACACCCCCTGCCGCCGCCGTTATAATGTCCGTCTTTTCACTGAATTGTCGTCTTGAAAAGGGTACTCGCAACAACTCCGCAACAACATCATCCTCACCTGTTGCACTTGCCATTTCAACGTTAAAAACAATAAAACGGCAAATGAATTGCTTCGTCGCATTCATCTAGATCACATGTGTCAAACTCAAGGCCCGCGGGCCGAATCCGGCCCGTCTA